CTGATTTCAAAAATGGATTTCAACTTTCAGAATTACCAGCGGAAATGGTCTTTTGATTAAGCATTCTCAAATTGAGCTAGGGTTTACTAAAAAATTGTCAATCTTGAAAGATTAATATAATTCAAAAAGCTGTAAGTTGATTTTTTCTTTTCTGAATCTTGAATGTCGAAAATCGATAAAAAATCAATCGATTTTTTTTCGGTGTCCTGTTATTTTTTTGACCATTTTTCAATTTTCTGATGGCGTTGTTTTTCGCTTTTTAGATGAATTTTAATTTAATTTCAGAAAGATTCCAAGCGGCTGGGAGTTTTTATCATTTCATGAAGCAGAGAGAAGGAAACATACTTCTTTTACTTTTACCTATCTTGAAGCTGCGATTGTTTCAAGCTTACTGTCAACTCTCCTACTCTACTTTTTTCTTAATCTATTATGAATTTGAATGCGGGCTTTACTATCTAGCCATATTTAGGGTTTTTTAACTTATTATTTTTACATGTTAAACAAGAATTTTTTCACGATAGAGCTATATCGTATATTGCAATGGTTAAGAATTTATTTTCTATTTTCCCGTTTGAATTCCGTGTTTATTTCACCAAGTTTGAAATTAGCAACCCAAAAGTGGGATGCTGTCAGGATTTACCCGGGTTTTGCGATTATGGCCTCCATATATGAATAACCACATTCTATTAGGTTAGGAGATACGGCCAGATTTTTCAAAGTTTTCTAGTAAACTTAGTTTTGAATTTCTCAACCTGAAAATTTGAAATTCTCAACCGGTAATTGGGAACTACCGTCATGGTACTCTCAGGGGCTGCAAATCTTTCCCCTAGATATGACTGCTCAATTCCGTGTAGTTTTCGAGATATGACGTTTTTTGTGATTTTTTCATAAATTTTTCAGAAAACTTACATCAACTTTTTTTTTTCTTCAAAATTTGAAATTCCTAACCCTGTAGTTGGGGGCTGTCAGAATATTCTCAGGGTTGCTAATGTTGCCTCCGAATAAGGCTGCTCAAACATTTGTAGTTTTCAGATCTGATGCTTTTTGTTTTTTTTACATCAGAAAACTTAAATTTTTTTAAATTTGAAATTCCTAACCCTTTAGTTGGGACTGTCAAAAAACTCTCAGGGGTTGCAAATCTTCCGTTCAAATACGACTGCTCTTTGCTTTCAGTTTGCGATATGTGACGTTTCTTAGTTCATTTTAATTTTTTCAAAGAACTTATATATAAAGCTTCATAAAATTTTATGGTTTTTCAAAATTTGAATTAAAAAAACTTGAATAAAAATTTTTGCAAAATTTGAAACTACCAATACTAATTGGTTGCTGTCAGGGTACACTTAAAAGATGGAGATTTTTTTTATTTTCAATATATGAGGTTTTTATAAGTTGTTAAAAATTCGAAGCACCGGAGGTGCTTTATAGGCTAGTTCAAAATTAAATCATTCCTTAAGTTGATTTTGGCTGAAGTGAGTTATAATAGTGTTTTAACTTAGTATTTTAAATTGTTTTAGAGCCATATTACATTGGACCAGTTCGCTTTGTCGAAAAAAACCCATTTGAAATTTTTTGCTTTTTGTCTAATTTCGAACGAAGAAAGTGAGCGCGAGCAGCCTCATTGTTTTCCAACCCTATAATCATCGGAATATCTGAAAGCCCAATCTATATCTATACTATATTTAAATGCGAGTGACAGCTATCTCCCATGTTTAAGCATAATAATTTTGCATATTTAATGGAAGAGATTTTTCATGTTTAAGCTATATATCATATATTGAAATGCTTGAGAAAATTTTTCAATAAGTTTTCCGCAAAGGTCATTATTTTTCAGTAATTTTTTGGCGAGGCCAAATTAAGTCTATCTGTCTGTATACCTGCTTTTTAAATTAATTTGATTATGTCTGTCTACCCGTCTCCTAATTTTTTAATTTTCATTAATCTATTATATATTTAAATGCGGGCTTCACCATCTCGCCATGCTTAGGCTTTTCAACGTTTTATTTTTGCATGTTTAACTAAGGAATTTTTTCAAGTTTAAGCTATATAGTATATTGCTATGGTTAATGTTTTTTTCCGATTATCCAGTTTGAATTTAGTGTTTATTTCTTCAAGTTTGAAATAAGTAACCTAGTAGTAGGATGTTGTCAGGTTTTGCGATTCTGGCCTCCATATATGAATAACCAAATCCTTTTTGTTTTACCAGATAGGAAAATTTCGAGATTTTTTCAAAAATTTTCAGAAAAAATAATTTTAAAAAAATTTCTCAATTTTTAAATTCTCACCCTGTAGTTGGGTGCTGTCAGGGTCCTCTCAGGATTTGCAAATCTTGCCTCCAAATCTCACTTCTAAAATCATGATAGTTTTCGAGGTATTACGTTTTTTATGATTTTTTCAAAATCTTCAAGATCTCATTCCTGATGTTGGATATTGTGAGGATACTACCAGGAGTTGCGAATCTTGCCTCTGATTATGGCTGCTCAAATTTCGAGATATGACGTTTTTTTTTAGGATAATTTTTCTAAATTTTTCAGAAAAATTATACATAAAAAATTTCACAAATTTCATGTTTGCATCTCTATTTGAAGGCTCTGTCAAGGTACTCTCGGGAGTTGCGAAATTTGCCTCCAAATATGTATCGGAGAAAATCATAAAAAACATCGTATCTCGAAAACTACAAAGATTTGAGTTTTATGATCTCGAAAACTACAAAGATTTGAGAAAAACGTCGTATCTCGAAAACTACAAATCTTTTTATCAAATCTTTGTAGTTTTCGAGATACGACGTTTTTTATGATTTTCTCCGATACTTTAAAAAAAAATTAGATGTTAAAAAATTCCAAAAAGTTGAAGATCTCAATCCTGTTATTGGAATCTGTGAAGGTACACTCAGGGGGTTGCGAATCTTGCCACTGAATATGACTGCTCAAATTCTCGTTGTTTTCGAGATGAGACGTTTTTTAGGATTTTCTCAAAGTTTTTCAGAAAACTTAGATTTCTTAAAACTTGAAATGAATATTTATGTAGTGAGGCTCAGTCAGGGTACTCTCAGGAGTTGCGAATTTTGCCTCCAAATATGACTGCTCAAAACCTCCAGATATGAAGTTTTTTGTGATTTTTTTCAAAAATGTTCATGAAAATTAAAATGCTTTTTTTTCAAACTTGAAATTCCTAACCTGTAGTTGGGGGCAGTCAGAGTGATCTAAGGGGTTGCAAGTTCAGCCTCCAATTAAGAATGACCAAATTTTTTTAGTTAAAGACATAAGACACTTTTTGTGATTTTTTGGAAACTTTCAGAAAACTCAAATTACAAAATAATTCACTAAAGTGAAGTTCCCAACCCTGTAGTTGTGTGCTGTCAGAGTACTTTCAAAAATTGCGAATAATGCCATCAAATAAGACTGCTGAAATCTTGGCAGTTTTCGAGATGTGAAATTTTTTCTGGTTCTCAAAAAATACCTTTTTTTAGGAAACTTAACGTGAAGTTCCTCAAAATTTGAATTTCCCAACGTTCTAGTTAGTGCTGATTTGAACGAAAATAAAAATTCTATAACGTTGTTTAAGTGTCGAGAAAAACTGCTTCAAAGTTTTTGACTTAAAGTGCAATTTTTCAGAAAGTGAGCCGACTTATTATAGAAGGATAAGTCGTTAATTTTTTGGTGTTTTTGTGGCGTTTTGGGCATTAAACATTTTCAAAAAAACGGATGTTTTTTTACCCTTGCAATAGCAAGGGTTTTGCAATTGGAAACCAGACCTTTTTTTGGACTCCTTCACAAATCCTCTTTGCAAATCCTCTTCTTTATCTTTTTTCGGCTTAACAGGCTCGGGCCTATTTCATATCGGCTAAGTGGCCTAATTTTGAATGGTTTCAAGAGAAACATAGTTTTAATGTTCACCTGGATTGCACAAACTGCTGAAAATCTGAATCGAAATTATAGTTCGTTTTTCACGACATTTTTTTTTGGTTTTTTTCAGGCTTGACAAGTTTCGGCCTATTTTTTATCGGTTTGTTGGCCGTATATTGCGCCTTTCGATCGGCGTAAAAAGTTGTATGTGTGTCTCTGTGTTTTGAGGGCGAAGGGGCTTGGTAACTTCTTATTAGTCTTTAAAAATTTTAATTTTTTGTTTGTTTTTTCTTTTTTTTCGGCTTGATAGGTTTTGGCCTACATTACATCGGCTAATCCGCCGATGATTGCGTCGTTTCACGAGCTGTGTATGTGTTTCGAGGCTGAGGGGGACTTAATAACTTCTTATTAGTCCTAATTTTTTTTCGGCTTGGTTTTTTCTTTTTTTTCGGCTAAATAGGTTTGGGCCGATAGTATATCGACATATTGGCCGCTTATTGTTTCATGTGACGCGTGAATAAAGTTTGTTTGTGTCTGTGTTTGTTTGTTTATTTGAGGGTGTGGAGGATTTGGTAAGTTCTGAATTTTTTGGCCTAAATATGCCTAAGTTTTAAGCTTCCGTCAGATCATTTAATGTATTTGTTATGAGAATGGTCAGGGCATTCTGTGCTACTTGGACAGCGGCCTGCTATCCTCGTTTGTTTTTTTGTTCAGTTCATTGCATATTTTTTTCTTAAAAGGAAGCCAAATCCACTATCGTGCAGCAAAAGTGTTAAGGTCACGAAAAACGTGATGACTTCTAGTTTCGAAAGTGGATTTTAAGTGGGTTTTATTTATCAGATTTCCCAGCGGAATATAAAATTTATCTATTGATCCAGTTTTCCCTGATTCATAAAATAGCTTGAATGTTTCAAGAGATTCAAGGGCATTTTTTTCTTTGAATTTCGGAAGTTGAATTGAAAAAAAAACAAGTCAGTTAGTTTTTTTTTCGATTCTTTGCGTTTTTGAGTTTTTCCAACTTGCCTGTTGGCTATGTTTTAAATAAAAATCAAAATAACAATTATTGAAGCATTAGCTAGAGATAGATATGTGTCCTTCTGGTACTTTTCAGACATAACCTTCAATTTTTGGGAAGTTATTTAAGTTTGATTGTTTCAGCGGCTGCTCTCAGCTCAGCGGCTGTTGCGACCAATGTGGCCAAGTCAGTCGTGAAATCAGGCGGCCTGAACAACCTGCCTCCCTTGGTCCAAACAACTTCAAACAGAGACATCGACAACACAACTAACATACCATGTGCAATTGCAATTCCAAACGTGATACCACCGCACCAGAATTGTACCCTAGAAGCGTGCAATCTTCGCCTACCCACTGTTCCAATCACTAGTGGGCTGGCCGTTTTAGCAGGGGGAGGCGAGAGGGGTCTAGAAGGTGAGAAGAGTGGCACTCTGAAGACAGTGATGAGTTCTGCTGCAGCTTTCCGCTCGCCGCCCTGCAAGAGAATCAAATTGCATCATCGGCCTTGCCTCGATTTTGAGAAAATGCAAAAACAGGTAGGAGTGTGAAAATTGTAGATCAAGAAAATGCGCTGCTATACAAATCCTAGTGATCGTCATTGACTGTTTTGTTCACTAACACTGCATGATTTTTAACTTCTCTGTTACAGTTTTGACGAATTGCAAAGTTTCGAATTCTCAGTGGCACTGATTGCTATGTCAATTTGTCTATCTGAATCAAACCATTTTTCATCTTGGGTTGATCTCAGTTCTATATCAAGATTGATCTCTACAGTTCAAAGTGATCTTTATTCAACATCAAGAAAAAACAAAAACGTTTTTTTTAAAAAAAAAAACAAAAACTATTATCTATCTATTATATATTTAAATGCGGGCTTCACTATCTCGCCATGTTTAAGCTTTTTCAACGTAATATTTTTGCTGTTTAACGAAAGAGTTTTAGCACTTTTAAGCTATATCGCATATTGCAATGGGTAGGATTTTTTTTCGATTTTCCCGTTCCAATCTATCTCTTATTATATATTTAAATGCGGGTTTCACTATCTCGACATGTTTAAGCTTTTTCAACGTATTATTTTTGCATGTTTAATGAAAGAATTTTTTTTACTTTAAGCTATATCGTATATTACAATCAGCAGCCCAATAGTGGGAATCTGTCAGGGTCGTCAATTATAAATGCCTAAATCTGTTTAGTTTACGAGACGAGACGATTTTTTGTGATTTTTCAGAAAGTTTTCAGAAAACTTAAATTGAAAAGTAGTTCACAAAATTTGAAATTCCCAACCCTGTAGTGGGGTGCTTTCAGAGTACTCTATAGGGTTGCGATTCTTGCCTCCACTTATAACTGCTCATATCGTTGTTGTTTTTGAGATAACTTGTTTTATTTTTTTTTTTCAATTTTTCAGAAAAATTATATTTAAAAAAATTCAAAAAATATGAAATTCCCATCTTTATAGTTGGGTTCTGTTAGGGTAATCTCAGCAGTTCTAAGTTCCAAATGCGACTGCTCAAATCCTCGAAGTTTTCGAGTATGACGATTTTTGTGATTTTTTCAAACATTTTTCAAAAAACTGAAATTTAAAATTTGAAAATTGGCAACCCTGTAGTTGGGGGCTGCTATAGTACTCTCATAGATTGTGAATCTTATCACCAAGTATTAGTTCTCAAATCATTGTATTTTTTGAGAAATGACGTTTTTATGGTTTTTTAAAAAAATTTCAAAATACGAAATTCCAAGCGCTGTACTTGGGTACTGTGAGATTACTCTCAAGAGCTGAAAAATTTGCGACCAAGTGCGACTGCTTAATTGCTTTTAGTTTCCGAGATGGGGCTTTTTTAATGTAATTTTGAATTTGTCAAATTGGTGGTGTCTTTATAAGTGGTGTTTTATGAGTTGTCAAATTCTAGAAGCACCGGAGGTGCGTTACGCGTTAGTTAGCACTTAGAAGCCTTGATATTTGAAGCTAAATAATTGTCGTGCGTATAATGCAAAACAAGTCATTCGCACTGATCTTAAAACTGCTTGAAATGATAAAGTATCGTGAGAGTGAAAGAACGAAGCGATTTTCACTTATATAGGCCTCGATGATTATTTTGTTGGGGTTTGACATTTGATTTTTTTTCAAGGGTCGGTGAACGTAGTTCAGAATTTTATTTAGGCCGTGATGATTTTTTCCTGTTTTTATTTTTCATGAAAAGTCTGAAAAATTAGACTAAAATTTACTTTTTCGCGGTTTGACTTTTGATTTCTTTGTAAGTTCACTTCGTTTCTTTTATTAAAAGGAAGGCAAACTCCACTATCTATCGAACAGCGAAAGTGTAAAGGTCACGAAAAACGTGTCCGACTTCTAGTTTCGAAAACGGAATTTTATTTTATGATTTCCCAGCGTATTATGATTTCCCAGCGGAAGGGACTTTTGATTTCTTTTTAAGTTCACTTCGTTTCTTTTGTTAAAAGGAAGGCAAACTTCTCTATCAATCGAACAGCGAAAGTGTAAAGGTCACGAAAAACGTGTCCGACTTCTAGTTTCGAAAACGGAATTTTATTTCATGATTTCCCAGCGTATTAAAAATTTTACTTATTGACTCCGTTTTCTCAAATTGAATTAATTTAATCAAAAAAGTGCCAGCCATGAATTGTTCTAAAAATTCAAAAAGCTTAAAGGGCATCAATGTTTTTCTTTGAAATTCGAAAATTGAGATTTTCCAAAAATAATCAGATTTTTTGTTCACTTGCGTTCATAACTCTTTTCCGACTGTCTGTTGTCTATAAAAGCAAGGCAAAATTCACTATCGAGCAGCAATAGTGAAAAGGTCGTGAAATGAGAATGGCTTTAGTTACAAAATGAACTTCAATTGTCTGAACTCCCAGCCAATACAAAATGCCCATTGATCCAGTTTTCTCTGAATGAAATAAATCAACAAAAAAAGTGGCTATCACAATAATTTTTTAAAATTCAAAGAGCCGCAACGTGATGTATTTTGTCCTTCGAAATTCAAAAGTTGTAAAATGTTTAAAATTTTCGATCAACTTTTTTCCAATTTTCGTTTTTTACACTTTTCCAACTGTCTGTTGGCTGTGTTATGAATTCAATGAATTCGACTGTTAGTTTTGACTAGATTGTAACGATTTTCTGATGGCTCTCGAAAGAGTAAGAACCACGGTTGGTCTAATTAATTGCACCTGCACCGATGGGGCAAATGGGGAGGGTGGAATATTAGGAAGAAGGGACCAGTAGACTATTGACATGTGTCACCATTTGGGGTTGTGATAACATTTGTTAGTGGGGTAGAAAGATAGTCTGAGAAATATAAGCCGGTCGCTGTGAATAATAGGGAATCACGGCTCTGAGTGATAGAGACTGTCAAATATTTATATAAGAACAAAATTAGGTAAAAACTGGGTGCCCGACAGGATTTGAGGCAAAATGTGACATAAGTGGTATTTTAGATTTAAATCACATGATTGAATTTAGATACCCCTTCTAGACAGAAGTTCCAAATTTATTATGTAAATCAATAAGTACAAATTTCAGTCTTGTTTAATTTAATTCCGGGTTAGTTTCGAATAAACTAACTCAAAAACTGATAAAATTAAATAAGTTAATTTCAACTCTTCACGTTACTTTAGATGCTAATTAATTTTACCCTGAGTTTTCATGCAAATATTTAAGCATTGTTGTTGATAATGAGGAGGCACTTAGCACAGTGGTAAGGCGTTCACTTTGAAATCGTCAGATCATGTATTCGATCCCATGCCATGGCAATGATAGTGTGTGAGGACAAGCTATCACTTGACCTCCAGCTTCTGGTCTACCACAACCTGACCAAATTTGGCTGCAATAGTGGTACCACGTAAAAATTCTAGACGCAAAAAAAACGGCCTTGAGTCGCAAAAAACAGCTTCGCTCAGCAAATTAACACTGTCTGGAATGTGGGGAGATAATACAAATGGACTATCCTCGACAGGACTGTTAAGGCCTAATGATAGCTCCTCTGCGATTCGCAGGAACTACAATTATTATTATTATTATAATAAACTAAATTTCAAGCATCAACTTGAAGCAATCAATAATTAATAATAAGCAATTGTTGTTGCTTAAATAGGAGATATTTTGTACCGACTGTAGTCATGATAAATTATTACAATTTTTTTGTTGGGCCAATTGTTTCAAAGTCTCGATTTTTTCCTACAAAACCGAGCTAGCTTAGTTTTTGCCGACCCAAGTGAGCGGCAATTCAATAGCACGTGAGAATTTTAATCTGCAGGCCGATGGTTTGATTCGGTCAATTATTAAGACTCTTATATAGGTCTTGGTGAATATAGATTATAGGTGAATATAGAGGTTTCTTTTTTCAGGGCTCATTTTAGTGATTTCAAAGCTTTATGGGTGGCTTATGTTTTCCTCTTGACAAGCTACTGTGGCGCAGATGCAAGGACAATGGACTCTTAATCTACAAATTGGCTGCATAATTTCGTTACAAGGCAAAAGTTCAATTTTTCAAAGCTTTTTTTAATCCTTCAAGTAAGTGTGTAAAAGACTCATCTCCTGGAGACATAGGATCCCAGGTTTCTGGGAAACTTACTGCAACAGACGTTATTGAGTATGTCTGTATTTTGATTGCCGCCTGTTCTTTTCAATTTTTTTTTATTTTGGTTGTTAAATTGATAACAAATGGAAAAATTTCCTGATTACTTTCTTTATCATATTGTTTTTCGCCTAGAAAGTTTCGTCGGCTTTTGTTAGTTTGGATTGGTTGCTTAACATTTCAACGTTTGAAAAGTGGTAGTGGAGTTTTTCTTGTGCGTGCTTCGAAAGAACTTCAAGTCCGAATTTCAAAGTTATTAAGCTTGAAGGTTTTGATGGCGTTTTTTTCGCCTCAAGGGCGTCGAGCCCAGCTTTGTCAGCTTAGTTGCCGCCGCTGCTCAAATTTCGTTTCAACATTGTTTGAACGATTTCACTCGTCTATCTCCATGTTTTTCTCAAATTACTCGTAATTAAAGACGAAATTTCAGTAATTTTTTTTCTTTTTTTTAATATATATTTTTTTTCAAATTCTTTTTCGTCTGCTAGCTTTCCATGCTGTTTCGGTGTCAATGAACAAGTTATTTTTCAGTAAAAAAAACGGTTCACTCTCAATGTTGATTTTTCGCGGTTTGATTTCTGGTTGCTTAATTTGACTTCATTTAATACAATTTCGCGAAAAAAAAGTAATGACGTTCAGACAGAATTGGTTTTTAATGTTGATAATTCCCAGCGAACTAAAAACTTATCTATTGATCCAGTTTTCTCAATTTGGGTTTACCTGAGCCAAACCGCATTAATCATGAAAGCTTCTGACAACTAATGCGATTTAGCATGATATTTTTTAACTGTGAAACATGATAGTTCATTTTTTTCGGTCTGCTTGTTTTCATCGACACATTTCCAACTGTATGTTGGCTATGTCTGTAATGTATCGCAAGTGGTTCGACCTCTGCTCCGATTCTGTATCGGCGACTGTTAATTGGAATCCATTTTTAATTGACGAAAGTG